GCCTGAGGCGCTCCGTGGGGCCGCGGGGGGAAGTAGAACCCCCGTATGGCGCTGGCGGAGCCGCCGTGCCGCGGGGACGGCCCCCTCAGAGGGACGTGCTCCCTGAGGTGAGCGCACACCTGGGCTGAGGCGGCCCAGCCGAGCGTCCGCCTGGGGCCAGGGCGCAGCGGGTCGTTAATATCAGGAAGAGAAAATGACGAGACGATTCCTGATCTTTTTTATTGTTACAATAACCCCCTTGGCGGCAGGACAGGCAAACTGGGAGCGGGGCCTGGTGGCCTCTGGGCTGTACAAGCGCACTAGCGCGCAGCCCTGCTCCAGGGAGCTGGCGGTGGCACAGCACGAGGGGCAGGGTGTGATGCACAGGAGGTGCGAAGGCTGTGAACCCCACGTTGGTACCGCACTTCTTGGAGGGTGGGTTGCTGTAAAAGGGTGGAAATAGGCAAAGTGAAAGAAAAAGGAAGGGAAAGGTAGCAATTAAAAAAAAGGCACGGGGCGGGGTGTGAAGCCAAAGTAAAAACTTTAGTGCAGTGCTGTCTTTTCACAGAGTATCTGTAGGACCCCGTTTCCTTAGATTCGGCACAAACAACTGAAAACATTTGGTGTAGAGACCCTCCTCAGTGTGCTTGCTGTCCCTGGTCCTTTTCTAGGCTTATAACTAGTGCTGTCTGCCTGTTTTATTCCCTTTTTGTATGTTCCTGTCATACATGTGTGGGTAGACACCTGAAGTGCAGTCAATGACCTGCTGCGTGCCTCTCTGCTTGGTTTCCAAAGAAACCTGCTCAGAACTTGCGGTGGTTGGGGATTTCTGCTGATTGAACAGCCACCAACCACAGGGACGCTGCATTGTCCCTTCAGCTTCTCCAGTGAGGTCCATGATTGTCCAGAGATCAGATACATGTGTTGTGGCAAGCCTCAATAATCTTGAAGTAATGAACTAATAAATGTCACAGGAATTTGTTATGTCTGTATTAAATTTTCACCAGATTCTAGCATTTGTCCACAATCCTGTGTAACGGGACCTTATGTTACAGGAAGCCTGCAGGATTTTGGATTACAGAGAAAGAATCGCATCTTGGATCACAGCTCTGATTCTGCGCTGGATACGTGCTGAAACTTTCCAGTTCACCACAAGGTTGGAGTACTCCCTACTAGCAAAATTATTTTCCCTTCTCACATGAAAATAAGCCCTCCACCTTTGCAGTTACTCTGTCGTCTCAGCTCAGTTTATCACAGAGCCACTCCTAAGATGTAACTGTAGATGGTCAGTTTAAGAGCAGGTGGTTCTGTGGATGTCCCCTTATTTCCTTTAAGTAAAAACATTTAAGTAAAGACACTTCAACATCTGTAGGACTGCTTGTGTCAATCCTAATATTCAAGAAGAGGTACTTATAGAATACATCGTAAATTGTAAATAACCCTGAAAACTATTCATTTCACTCCTGAGATATAAGTCTCAACAGAAGAAAGCTCTTAATATCACTCATGGATATTTGCCCTGGGCTGTAGTTCTACAGCCTGATGACATGTTCGTTAGGGCTATGGTCTGTGTTTCTGCGAGCATTGTGCGTTCAAAGGCAGGCAATGTTGTGCATTTCCCAGTTGGAGCCATGCTGGCCCCGGAGCTCTCCTGGAACAGCCTCGCACGGAGGGATCACCAGCCCTTTATTCAAAGCTTTTCTACCTCTTCCCTACA